TCAGGACTTCAGATGCATTCTGATCTGCGAATACAAGGCAGTAATCTGTGAGATCGTTGAGACAGTAAAGTTGAGAGATATTGAAAATTGTGCATAGGTTCTTGTTATTTAGAACTGCCTAAAACACTGCATACACTGACGTTAGCGCTCAAAACACGCAAAAGATGATTAGATCACAGCTTACCTTCAGATAATCAGCAATAGCATTCTGAAGTTTCACAAATCCGTACTTGTGCGCTAGCCCGAGAATCTCCATCACCTGCTCTTCTTTGTATTCGAGTAAAGTCAACTTAGCCGTATAGATGTATCTTAAATGAGACATTGCTGTACTTCCAAATCTACATCGCATGTGCAATCAATTTAGTATTTAATCATCTACTAAGTACTTAAAAATTGGAAAACAGAGGGAGGTTCCTAAATAAAAGGCTCAAGAAAGAACGTTCTGAACTACTAATCTCGAGTAACGTGTGCAATATAACATCAGATTTAGCTTAGATGTGGAACCTAAGTAAAGAGGGATGATTCTGTCAATGCACTGATCGTTAACCTTGCGTTCAAATTTTGAACCGTAACAATCTCTATGTATCACTCTAAAGAGAATAGGAACCATCAAGTAACGAAACGAAAAACATGTACGATAACCCAAAACAGAGCAAAGAATACCTCAACAGAATCCGAAACGCGAAAACGTTTGTCTCCTCAAGCACTATTTCACCTTCATCGCTTTCCTTCAAACCTCCATAGAGCATAGCTCTGACAAGCTTATGTTGGATAGTATTCGTGAAATAATGCAAAATTACAGATTACCTGAAGTAATCACTGCGCGCCGCAAGCAGCACTTTATGGGCTGGAAACTTCTCTCCATCTACTACAAATATTACATCAGAGAAGTCTGTGTTAAGAAACAGTGATCCGATATTGTCGGAAAGGAAAGCGGTATGATCGATTTCCCCGGAATAGGACCCTAAAAGAACGCCAATATAGTTTACAATATTCGCCATAAATTTAAGTGTTAGGCGAATTTCCCATATTTCTGAAGGAACATTTTATACAGCAATGTAATTACCCTATACAAAAAGAAAACAATAACTAGGGAAAATCGAATGTAGTAAGCTTTCGCATTATGTGAGATTTATTGGGATCTGGTAT